ATTAAATAAAACCTCCCTCTTGTATAACTTAAAACAATGTCATTGGATATCTTCACACACGATTTGGATTGATTTGAATTAATTTTCTTTACTAGCGCTGGTTTTTTTTGGGGATATTCCGGTAAAGAACGGTCGAAAATTTGGCTAATAATTGGATAAGTTCGGGGTCTAGATAAATGAATTAAAGCAATGTTTTGGGTAATAGGAGCCGTAATAGCATGATAACGATAATATATTTAGTCAATTTTGTGTTGGAATTTTCTTTATTACGTTCATTGGTAACATTGGACTAGAATTCAAGAGTTATATCGCTATGTTTAGGGTTGTTAATCGTAATGGAGCAACATGCTCTGGGTTAAGCCCAACCCAAATCGATATATCGAGGGAGTTGTGATCAAGATTACTTATCGGTTGGCGATCACATGATAACAACCAATAAGAATGCGCAAATCATATGTGTGCCGGCAACTATTAAAAGTTGATTTTATCGTTCGGGTTAGGGTAAGGGATGGAGGACAAAGTTAATATAAAATTGCCTCCTCAACATTTTTTATTAGATCTCCAAGTTAGATTTTGACATTCGTTTCCCGTATTTTTCACATTTTTCATTTTTTTGTGCCGGGCTGATCAAAAATTTGCGCATCCTTATTGGTTTGTCATGTGCATGTGATCAGGAACCGAGCACATACATGTTCATGTATTATAATTACTCCATGTTGTTCATGTGTGTAAAATTGGCATTTAATTTTTCTTGTAGATCAGTAACACGATGTTCCAAGGTTAGGATTAGGGTTAGGGTTGAGGTTAAGGTTATATGTAAAACTGTCTCCCCAACGTTTTTTATTAGTGCTCTAAACTAGATTTAAGTACGCGTTGTCTGTATTTTTCATCTTTGTGTCGGATTTGTTTTGCCGGCATTTTATTAAACTTGTCCCAGATTCCCTGACATTTTAATTAGTACAAAAGGCATATGTTTTTCGTATTTCAATATTTTTTCATTTTCTATCTGGATTAGGATGGTTAAATATGTAGACTTGGAAGTTTTATGACTTTTTTCTAATTTATCTTATTAACAAATTGTTTTTTCTAATTTATCTTACGATTCAAATTCTATTTTAATTTATAAAAAGTCAAGCTGTTTTAATATTTCAGCAAAATTTCAGATGGTTCTAACAGCTGTTTTCAAAAAAAAAAGAAACTGATGAAGAATCAATTCTGATGTTGTATAGACAGATGTAAACCAGGGTCTGACAGAATTTGACGAGGCTGATAGACGTGTGATTTGTTGGAATTTCGATTTTGCAGGAACTAAAAAAGCTTAGTATATATAATTGATCCTCAAGAAGAAAATTTTTGCATTTTGTCGTGACAAGATGAGCTTGTGCCATACGAGATAACAACCACGTCTGTAAGTTTTTAGTCCGGAATTTCGGATAACTCACGACTTAAATTCTCCAGATCCAGATTATAGGTCGGACAAAAATCGTACCGGTAATTTTGATTTGTTCGCCAATTAAATTTTATTGGGATAATATAAATAATTGTGATGATAAAGACTTCTTTTATAAGTTGTGATAATAAAAATAAATAATTATTTAAATAATAAAAGGCTTCTTTTAATAAATAATTGTGTGATCGAAATAATAAGACTCCTTTTAATAAATAGAAGAACAAGACTAATAACTAGGGCTCCTAACGAGCCGGCTCTCGAGCCTCTCAAGCTAAAATTTTATATATAATTTAATAATATGTGTTTAAACCTTATTAATTAAATTATATGTATGCGAGTCGTATGCGAGCCAACGTGTCGAGCTTTTCGGAGCCCTACTAATAATTTTTATATATTTCATTTCCCATTATTTCAAAGTGAACACAAAAAAATTGAATCTAATGTAATAAATGTACTGATTTCCAAGAAAATGAATGCTGCAAAGAGTGTTTCGATTATCACTATCAATTTTATAAAGCTGAATGGTCTAGTGAAGATATCGACAGTCTTACAAAAGAATGCGCGATCGAAAATTTATCAATGTTAAATATCTTATAAAAGGAGGTTTTGTGACAGTGGCTGGACGAATCCACCGAAATTTCGGGCCACGTGATTATTTTTTGATGATGTCAACGATGATGACCAATTAAATTGCAAGATCAACGTGTAACACATAAATTCAAAAATAAACAAAAAAAGTTTTTATCTCAAAATCTAGTCTATGAAACTATCTTTTGTGTTCTAATAAAAAATGTTCACTGCGAGATTTTATTTTTTGTTTGCCAAATAACCTTGGCCCAGAGCCAACCCCTCGCAGAGTACCCTAGCCATGGCGAAAAAAGTGTTCAGATCATGTGATATTCGGGTATATCCGGAAAAATTATATGATAATAGAGATTATTGTCAAAGATTAATTTAAGGTTAGGGTTAGGGTTAGGTCTTGAGTCAAGGTTATATAAAATTGCCTACCCGACATTTTTTATTAGTCTATAAAACTAGATTTAGGCATCTGTTTTCTTGTGTCGGATTTGTTTTGCCGGGCTGATCAAAAATTTATTGGTTTATGTCACCAGCAGATCAAAAAATTCACGATTCTTATTGGTTCCCACGTGATCTGAACACTTTTTTTCGCCATGGCTAAGATACTCCTTTTCGCATCGTTGACATCATCAAAAAATTATCACGCGACCCGAAATTTCAAAGCAAATTACATTAGAAGTAAAAAAATGAACAATTTCCATAGTATAAGCAAAATGCTTCTTTGTTTTCTAACCTTCAAACTGCTCATAATTATGGAATAACTAAAAATCCTACACATAAATACGCGATAGCGATAGATGTAGAAACTATAAAAAATTGACTTGGGAAACAAATTAATTGATATTATTGAGGGGTTGCGTACAATGGGTCATTGATATAACGGTAATTAGATTCATCGGAAAGCCATACACTAACGCTAAAGCTGCAGATATTTCTAGCTTTGGGATGGTTATATATGAGATTATAATAGGCGAACACCCATTAGACATCCATAACGGAGTACGACCTATTCCTCCGGAATTTTCGGATCTATCTACATGTACAATGGATGATTATTAAAGCACTAATAATCGTGAAAATTCCCGTCCAGCTATTTTCTTTGGCAGGTATCAAATTTGGGGAATTTTCAATTATGGGTAGGGATGTTAAAAGTCTGGTCCGGTCTAACTTAACCCCAGAAGTTAAGCTTTGCTTGAAACCCGGTCTAATGTCAGACTTGATCCCATCATCTAACATATTATTATCATTCACATGCATGTTGCCGGAATTCCGTAGTTGATTTAAATGATTAGTTGCTTGCTAGATATGTGAATGTTTTTGTTTGATGCTCTTGCTCCCGTTATTTTGCAATCACGAATAGATGTGTGTTTACATTTATTTTTTATGTTTGGGATTGAAATTAATGATTTCATTATTTTATGTTTGGGATTGAATAATTAATGATTTTATTATTTAGAGGTTCTATTAGCACCTGATTCAGCATGTGATAGTAATTCGGGCTAAAGTATTTAGCACCAAATGATCTGCAAAAAATTTCTAAATTAGAATTTAGGACATTTAGGACATTTTAGAACTTATATAATTATTCAAAGTCCGAAATATTTAGGACTTTGAAAAGTACTTTAGCCCGAATCATTAGGACTTAATCCTTCAAGTCTGGATTCAGGTTTGAAGTACTTCAGATTTTGAGCAAACTCAACACTGAATCCAATAAATTTTTTAACATTCCTAGTTACGGAAATCAGTTTTTTAAGCAATTATAACTTGGCTGAAAACGCCAATTACTTGGGCAAAAGAAGAGGAGCTACGGGCTGTTATTTTTACCGCATAAACAAACATGAAGTAAAGTATTAGGGATAATTGTGGTGTGTTTTTAGCTTTTAGTTCATTTTTTTGTGGCAAACATAGCAGTAAATGAGTTGAGGATATCGCTAGTACTAAATTCCCCGCCACAAAGAGAATTAAGCGAATGATAACAATAATCACTATATCGATATTAGGCCAGTTATGATACTCAACTTTAATCTTAACTCATAATTTCCTTTTTTCTATTGATAATCGATTAATTAAGAATCAATTCGCAAACAGGCGTGTAAATGTATGATAAAAGCTGTATTTTAAGTTATATGATGTATGAACTCTTAGATCGACAATATGTTTCATGTTAAAAATTCTATCAACTTTTTAACTTAGAAATAAATACAAAATTTGACCGGTAACATTATAGAAAAGGAATTTCTTGATAATATTACCAGTCAACTTTTGTATTTACTTCTTAGTTAAGAAGTTTATATAATTTTTAACATGAAACATGTTGTCGATCTAAGAGTTCATACATCATATATGATAAAACTATAAAGTTAGAAGTTCACGTTAAAATAATAGCATTCAATCCTGATTTTTTGCTTTCCATTAAATTTTCGTAATTTTGACTTTATTCTTCCTAATCCAGAAAAAAATCCGATAGAAATGAAAAAATATTGAAATACGAAAAACATATGCCTTGGTGTACTAATTAAAAATGTCAGGAAATCTGGGACAAGTTTAATAAAATACCGGGTAATACAAACCAATAAGAATACGTATGCAAATTTTTTATCAGTTCGCCAAAACAAATCCTACACAAAGAAAATGAAAAATACAGAAAACGCATGCTTAAATCTAATTTTGAGCACTAATAAAAAATGTCGGGAAGACAGTTTTACATATAGCCTTAACCTCGATAATCCTAACTCTAATCCTAACCTTTGAAATCAATCTTTAATATTGTGTTACCGATCTATATACCAATACGACCCAGTGTTGTCACTTGGACGTAAATCCAGAAATTTGATTGGTCAGGACACTTGTCCCAACCAATCAAATTGCTGGATTTACGTCCAAGTGACAACACTGCGGCCGAAACGTAATCTTAAAGTTTTTTGATGTTACAAAACACATGATTAATCATAACTCCATTTGATTTGCTCCAATGGAGCATATCGATATATCGATTTTGGTTGGGCTTAACCCAGAGCATGTTGCTCCATTACGATCAACAACCCTAAACATAGCGATAGAACTCTCGAATTGTCTAATGTTACCAATGAACGTAATAAAGAAAATTACAACACAAAATTGACTATAAATATATTATTGTTATTATATGTAATACATGCTAGCGCTAGTAAAAAATAATTAATTCAAATCAATCAAAATCGTGGTGAAGATACCCAATGACATTGTTTTGTGTTATACAAGAGGGAAATTTTATTTAATATGATTCTAACACTAAACACGTACACATAAAAGAAGTAAATACAAAGAAAGTAATAAACAAGAAAAACTTCGATCGTTGTACAACTACATATATACAGTAATCTTTTTAGATTAACGCTAACGCTACCAGGCAGGTTAAAAATC